GCTGTTAAACCTATATTGGACGATTCGCTAGCGGAGTCTGATATAAGTTTTTGCAGCTGTGTTATTTCACACACCATCCTTGTAAGACATTTTAACAGAATTTTGTTCCTTCAATATGTTTTTATATGATTGTTTGGTCTCTGAACATTAAAACGAGGCTAGATAGAATACGATATGCATTTGATACAGATATTTTAGACTCTGTAATGCAAACGAGGCTATATACGGTACAATATACATTTGATATGGATTTTTTTTAATGGAAACGAGCTTAAATTGATGAGATTGGATCCAATAATGTTTTTGTTTTTTTCTTGGAAACAGCACGAGGATCAAACGTTGAAAGTTCATTTGAGTGTGAAATAAAGCTTCATATATATACACAAGCTCAACGTGTTTTTGTGCTTTTTTAGGGGGGGGGGGGGGTGTCTGTGGTATCACTTATCCACTTTCTATTGCCTACATCCCTTTTAAAGAAAATTCCAGAAACTGCCAGACAAGAGTTTATTGAAACTTAATCCATTCGTTTTCATAAGGAACGGGAACAATACTCTTAAATATTAATGGTATGTAACCCTTTTCTTCTTAACCATATTAGATTGTGGTATTTAACCTTAAAATTAGGATTGGCCAGACAAAGAATGTTAGCATATTTACTGATAGCTGTATCTCTGATTTTAAATTTTTCCATAAAAATACTAGAAGTTTTTTAGGGTTTTTTTTAGTTGTTTTTTTTAACTGGTCATATATAATTATGTCACTGTTAAAGAAAATAACAGACCGCCGACTGCTCTTTTGGCTAGAGGTGTAGGCTACGACACATTAATATATCTGTTAAAATGGTCTATTTACGATTTATTTATAAGCAGTGTTGACAATCACGTTAAAGACTCTCAATTACATATTTTAAAACCCGTTTTAGCAGAGACTGTTTATTGTTCTGTTATATTTGAATTCGTTCTCAAGATTACGCAATCATCAAAGAATCATCGCGTCATATATAAATTCCGTCTGAAATTAATAGGACTCGTGAGAGCCAATTTACTCCTAAATACCTACTTTAGCTGCTAATTACACAACATGTATAAAACGGATGTTCAAAGCGGTAGGCATGTTAAACGGGGTGATTTGTGTAATCTTAGATGACGGAATTAGAAAACTTTCTCACCGATTGATGTCTTTAAAAATTACGAATTTTCTCCGTGGATTCTCGGCATGACTTAATGTGATCGCCGTGAAATCCCAGCATGAAAAAATATCGTCATGAAAGAAAGGTGTCGAGAACTATCGATACAATGCTATAGTTTTGTCGGACAAGACCGTTATTTGATACCAGATGATTAGAATATTATACGTAAAACGCTTCTGCTTCACATTCGGTTATTTTGTAAAATCTGTTTATTTAGACGTTGCAGCGAATCGACATAAAGGGTCGTATAAGAATCAAACAAGAATTTAGACTATTATAAATTATCAATTAAGTCACACAAGGTCATATGGATACGATTTCATTACATAGACTAGTGTATACAGATATTGATGTTTTTATTGTAAGTTTATCTAAGGAGTTTAAATATGGACTTCCATCATGTCAAAGGGAGATATGTCCAAAAAAGGGAGATAAGTTCATTTGGGTTAACATTTGGGTTAACAGAATATAACGCTGTTATATTATTATATTTTAACACTGGGGTTGGATGCCATTCAGCAAAACAATGGATACAACTTGAAATAACTCCACAAAATAAATTTACGAGAATACCTCTATAAAAATACAGACTTTATTGAACACTTGTAGAAGATGTTTGGCTATCTTCCATTACGTGGTACAGAAATGGCATGTATTTATAAACATGATATCTTCGCTAGCTTAAATTATTGTTGTACTTGCCTTTTTTCTCTTTGATAGGGAAATAGCCCTTGTAGTACTGTAGTTACACCTCCAGTCTGATTTGTAAATTAGATTTCTACACAGAAATTCCTTACTTATCCGGCCAGCCACCTCATTACATTACAAGGGGCACCAGAATAATAGGTGTCTAAAAGAAAATCAAAATAAGAGAAGAAAAGAATGAATAAAAAACCTGATATTCTTTGGGGGAAATTGCTTGAGATGGTTCAATAACAAAAACAACAACACAAAACATGTTTAAAATGAATTGTTTGAACCGCCTTTTGTTAGCAGTCGCTCGTGAATGAGTAAGCGGTTTCCGTAAATGGACATTTTAAAGTAAACATGCATAAGCAAAAACAATGGGCGGAGATATATCTTTACCTGAAGTCTTAATTTCAATAATTACAAATAAAGTTATAATATATTTTTTTCTTATGAAAATGTATGTTTTTAACCATTTTATGCTGAAACATCATTTTAAAGTTATTTTCTGTTGAAGATTCCCTCTGTCTGCGTCAGATGTTAAAATAATAATATAGCCTAGAACGTATTGTTTCTTTTAATTTACAATTTGTAATCAGTATGCCATTTCTTTACATTCTGTTAGATAACGGCTGTTTAGAACATGCCCACCACTGATATGTATTAACGTCAACTAAATTTAGAGATTTAATCCCTCAATTTTGTTTGACCTGAAATTTAGACAACGTAACTGAGTTATTTCAGCAGAACAATTACAGCTAGAATAAAATCTTACACGTTTTAGGAACGAAAAAATATAGCAAACAATTTTTCCTCAAAGAAAGATAATTATTACGGAGTTACGCGAAAATCTGTCGCTTGAAATTTTGGAATTAAAAATGTCACGCGCCTTCTTGTAGTACTTATGGAAAGGAAAAGTTTCATTAAGGTGTTCTAAATGCGCACGTTCTTTAAGATGTTTTAATTATATTTAACATTTGAACGACAAATTTATACTTCTGGTAAATGGCCATATATTATATAAATATTTGTACTTTCGTCATACTTTATACATTATCCGAATTAAGAACAAAAGGCGGAAGCTTCTATTGTATTTGGTTTCGGAACTAACACCTTCAGTTATATAACCTTATTTGTTGCTTTTAAAACAACATTTACACATCTACTTTGTTGCTTTTGTTGTGTATAATTGTATAAAAGAATGTGTCTTAATTCAATTTGATTGTCTCTGCTACAAAATAAGATCTACTTAAGTAGTGAAAATCCTTTTTAGATACCAGTGACACCTCGACTTAAAGTCGCCTTCATACATATTATCACCTGTATGGTATACGAATCTGAAAGAAATATGGTGCACATGTAAAAATTACTCTTTCGTTAAAGTGACTCCCTGCGAAAATAATTTTTAGAATGGTGTGAATTTCTAAGATTTTCAAGATTTTTTTCATTAATTATTTCTAACTTGTTTACCTAAAAGAAACACAAAGTAAATAATCTGATGCCTAAAATTACTTAATTAAAGTGGCTAATATCTGAGTGTCAATTCCCTCATGTGTCTTAATACAGATTTGTTCTGTTGTTTCAATTTGAATATCTCTCTTTTCTCAATTTGTACGCATGCATAATAATGTTTGTGCCATAAAAAAGGACAAGAAACACACAAATATAATTGTGTCCGGAAGCATTTTGACATTTTTGCAAGTTTCAAGGGACTGCATTTTGCATTTCGATAATCCTGTTTCATTAATTACAAGTAATTGAATTCGTAATTACTTTTTAATTTAAAGTTATGTTTGTTATTTTTCTTGTTTTCAATTTCTGTATTGGAAACAAACAAAAAACTAATTGTTTGAACTTCGACAGTATATTTTTTTTTTTTTTTTTGCATGGTTTTACTATAGAATTGACGTCAGGTCTGATATGCAGTGACCTTCTGCAGCAAATACAACTACTTTTAAGTTATTATATGTTAATTCTACAATTAATTTACATCTCAATTTTAAAACCACAAATCAGAAAGATATGCTAAAGAATATATAGCAATATACTAAGAAAAAATAAAATATAAAAAAAGTATTTTTGTGCTATTTTAAGTCTGATTTGATTATTTAAATGAAGATCGTTGTAACGGTTTTGAATTTCACTATGAGAGTAATAATACTAGAAGAACTGGTATTGTGTACACAAGTTATTGGTTTAGACGTACATCAAATGGATATATTTAATCTGGAAAAAAGTATTTTCAGACCCATCATGTCAAAAGACCTTTGTTGATAATAATAATAATGAAAAAGACATCACTTACATAATGTTACAATTGAAAATATTCACCACATTACAAATGACCACACACTACCGAAATTTAGATAGAATTTGTAAAATTAGATATTTAATTGATAGGTCCATTAACGAAAGTATCATTATTTTTTATGTAAAATGTATTGTAATTTTAATTAATTTCATCTATGTAGGACACATTTGACCATACACGTCCATTGTTGGAACTCAACATACTTTTATTGTTTCCTTTCCCGTCCACGCGAACACGTGATAATAACGGTATATCATAACGTTAGTGTAGTCCGCCAACCAATTTATTATTCTGTCAAATGAATATTTGAATTGCGATATCAAAAATATGTTTGAAATTTCTTTTATTGAATTATTTTTTTGTAAGTATTAATTTGATCATAACTTAAATCATATATATTAAAGTTATTTTTTAAAAAAAGAGTTATACTTTCTGACTAAAGTCGACTTTATTTTTGACCAAAATGATAGACCTATGTTTATAGTTATACATGTTTTCTTACATAAACAATATCATGAGTGTTTTTCTTTAGAAAAAAAACTTCTCAAGGATTTACTCAATCAGACATCGTTATTACATTCTTAATGACATTTCCGTGGACTACCGTGAATGTTTAGATAATCGAACAATTTGTTCAGTACACCGTTAAACACCAATCACAACTACGTTTGAAACATTAAGCTCAAAAGTAGGCGAGCGTTCCAGCCTATTCTTTTCGCAATCGAGTAATTAGTGCTCGCTAGAGCGCTACGCTCCGCCCCTTTCACGATCAGAAATAGAACATCGCTCCGGGTCGTTTTCGACTTTGTATCGCTTCTGGCTATTTGATAGTATGTTCACTTTTACTTTCTACATTTGACAGTGATACTTTGAAAAGCTGACCTTCGGCCAGTTGACCAAAGTTTATACCTTCAGGGACTTTTCATCATTTTTTTTGCTGACCGCTGTTTTTCTGGATACTTTTCGTTAAGTTTAATTTCTTTTTTGTTACAAAGTTTGTTTTTCTGATTAACTAGTGATTCAAGATTTATTCGGATCAGGAAACCGTATGCAAAGACATTGACTGGATTTACTTTTTAACTTAAATGAAATGTAAACATTGCCTAAAGCGCGGATATTGGTGTTCATAAAGTGGGATACTGATCGATCAAGCCTCGGGTGGCTCCCTCTAGCGGGTAGACGCTCCCCGATGATGACTGCTGAGTTAAGCCCCGTTGATTCTACCCAACTTACTTCAGTCTCCGATGAAAACGTTGGGATAGAAAACGGTGTGCTAAAGTCAAACGGAGTGTTAACAGAGTTGGATAGGGTCTCCCCGACGTTTTATAAACGCGAAACAATGCCGACGGCATTTGGCCTAGTTGTAGATCAGAATGGAAATACTACAAATGGCACGGAGGTGGATATTTGTCTTTTATTCTAAGACATATTTGCTAATTATTATCGATCTTTTTTTCTATATCATGTTATCTTGTACATTTATCTATGTTTTACTTCATTTTTGTATATATTTATTGCTTTCGTAATATTGACGTTACTGGCTTTTAATTACATTTTTTCTCACCCGGAGATACTATCTTATTTAAGATTTTTTTAAAATGTCAGTTGTGACAATTATTTCATTTTTAACCATATGAATTCACGGGTTAATAAACACTTCTAATTTATAATATGTAACAATTTTTTACATGATCAAAGTTTTTCTGGTTAACATTTTACATAAATAATAATGATACTTTCGTTAATGAAAATAAATGGACTTATGGAAATACGGGAACGTCTCTCTTTCTTTTCATTTAGGGATGTTACACAGAAAACCTATTAGTAATAATGGAGATATTTAACAAGTAATAATGGAGATATTTAACAATTTTCAAGTTTTCAAGAGTTTTCGCTGTCTGTCGTTAATGAACGAGGTCTAAACCCCGCCGGCGGGCAGATCTTTAGTTTTTCTTCTCCATTTTCTAGTTGGTCTCCCAAATGTCGCCGTGGGCTTTCTTGTTAGTATACAGCGAAATACTGGTTATGTTATACAGTTGTCGTTTCTACTTCATACTGGATTGTTTATGCAATCGTTATTTGGATATTTAAAAATAATGTGTTCATGTGTTATTTATTTAATGCATTATATCTTTGGCAGTTTTTCAATAGTGGATAAAATGGCATCAGAATTCATTAGTACACAGTGATTTGAAAAAAGTTTCTTACGTGAGAATTATGTTGTTTATTCCAGGAGAGACGGGATGTGTTGGGCTCCCATGCGGGACTCGGACAGCTGGTGGCTACAGTATCAACGGCGGCGTCTTTCCCACCGGCACCTAGACTATCACATACGCCGACGTCGGATTTTCAGCCGCCATATTTTCCGCCACCATATAACCCAATTTCACAACAGCCAGTGGAGTTTCATCCTCACCACGTGAATGCAGACCCCTATTCTCATCTAAGTGGGTTCCAGGCCCCACAACAACACTACCATCAACTTCAAGATAGAAATGTGCTCCGCCATAGAGACGATATACACAATATGGCCGGTGGCCTCCAACCCCATGATAGAAATAGGGGAGACTATGGTGGCATGGGTCGCACTGATCTTCTTGTGCCGCGGGCCCCTTTGTCTATAGGGTATGGGGATACAGACCCTTCCCTGCTTAATTTACACGGGGGAAACATGATGGACGACGGGACTCAGGTGAGTTGTTTGATTTTTCTTTTTATTTTGAAAAAAAAATCTAACGAATTTCATATAAATTTACCTGTTTACGTTAGCATCAAATACGCGATTTACACGGAATGAATATAGATGATATATTTGATTATTGGATTTATAATAAATAGTGAGAAAGTTTAACAATAATGTATTTATAGAATCAATTACATGTACATGAAAAACAAACGTTTAGGTCCGACTCTGTATACTATTACACTACTTTAGTTATAATAAATAGTGTCATTAGAATTAAACTGTCTATACATAAAACAACGATACTAAAACAACAACCTAAATAATGATCAAATAATCATTAAAATTATATTTACAACTCGTAGTCAATAATATATTTTTTACATTTCTAGAAAGAAAAATAATTACTTACTCATGTATGCTAAATTAATCATAGTATCTTAAAAGCCAAAGCTTTATAAGATTTTAATATGTCAACAATATGGTACCCGATTCATTGGAGATTTTGTATTTTAGATCAATTCGTACTTTACCCCTAATTTCGCCGAGATGTTGTGTTATGGGGTTGAGATTTTAATCTTAGATGATTCAGTTTAATTATTTCGAAAGTCATATGTCGTGTACATGTCACACAGGAATGTGTTTTGGGGAGTGAAAATAGATTTTTATTTGATGAGTGATGCATAACGATTTATGACTGTGTGCTCTCTCTCCCTTTTTTTGGCTTGTCATTTATAATTATTATTATTATTTTGATCCATTTCAATATTTAAACGCTTACTATTCCATGTGATTTTAATTATTAAAATACGAATAATACATATGCATCGTAAAGTAAACTGTTTTTCATTTTTAATATTTATTTGTATATTTACTAAAATAATTGTGCGATATATTTAATGTTGTTGATCATGATCTCGAGCGCGAGAAAAATTCGAATGAACTGCAGCATAATATATAAGATTGAGCGCTATAAACTGGCGTTGAGAATACATGTTGAGAAGAACAAAGTATGTGTATTCTTAAGAACATAATTTCAACATAAAATATTATTATAAAAATCGTTTTATTTTGCAACCACGCTAAAGTAAATCACAAACATGATGTAATTAACGCAAAAATTATGTATAAACATCAATACGTCTTTAGTTTTGATGTAGAATTAAATTTCTTTTACAAGGCGCTTTGATAGAAAAAGAAATGTGGATGAATTAGCCTGCAAATTAATTCCTACTTGTTCACGTAACATTAAATGCAGCTCTTTTATTAAACAGAAACAACTACATTAAAGCAAGGTAACCCAGAAATTTATAACTAAAATATTTTCTGGAAAAAAAAATAAAGTAAAATTTAAAGTGTAACAAAACGGTTACCAAATATTCCAAAAACATGTTTCCTTCTGCACATTTTAAGAACAGCCTGGCTGTCAATTCACCGGATATTTGCCCGATATTGTGGAAAGTTGCCTAATTTAATTTCGTTTTCATTTTGTCTTGCAGTCATAGGAAATTGCTTCGATCTCTAGTTGTTAAACTGGTATTTTTAACAAGGGACTGATTTTTCATTTGCATCGTGAAATGTGATCGGCGGATTGGGAGTTTTCGGTTAATTTATCAAAGATTTAGTTACATAACGTTATAGCATCTCATACACTAAAGGGAAGATTTTTCTTACTTCTAAACCAAACGAGTTAATAGAGGAACTGGATTTTGGCTTCTCTTTTCTTTTTATTTATTTATTTATTTATTTATTTATTTATTTATTTATTTATTTATTTATTTATTTATTTATTTATTTATTTATTTATTTATTTATTTATAAATTTATTTATTTATTTTTATTTAAATTTATTTATTTATTTTTTTTTTTTTGGGGGGGGGGGGTATATATATTTGTATTATTTTTTTCTCTGTCCCTATTTTCACAGATATACATACAATATTATATATTTAGCTCCATGCTATATTGTGGTAATTTCTTGGGTAAGAACAAGTGAAACAACTGATACTCGTTAAGAATAGAATCTCGTACTTTCATTTTATTTTCATATAAACATTATTTTTTCATTAGTGAGAAAAATTAACAATGTTGAGCACTATTATTATTATTTGGTCCATGGTTGATGCACACAAATCAAAATATCCTGAGGAAATTTCGCGACACAATTTTGGCGTTTGTCGCGCTCCGGAAAGTAGACAAAATGGGCCCCCGGGTATGATATAATATTCATTCAATTGTATAGACTGTACAAAACCTTTCTTACAATAATAAGCCTGAAGGCAAACTACTTTTATTGTTAATAGTATATACAAAACGCAAAAGTAAATATTATTGGCCTTGGAAGAATTTCATTCATAAAAATTTAAAAAAAAATGGTTTACTGACTCGTTTTAAAATATTAAATATTTAATTAAGAGTTTCGTGGAACTAGCCAACAGGAATTTCGTCATTAATTTTACTAAATTTCTCATCTATGCAAATACATAGACTGAATAAAAAATAAAAGGCAACGTATATAAATTCATATAAAGTATACTTGTATGTGAAAACGAATGATACATCTTGTATTTTGAACTTACATTGTGAGCTTTAAAGCCACACTGGCGTTACGACCGGCGTGTTTCCTCATACTGGGATTGTCTAATCAAGGGCAGAAAAGTTTTAAAACTTTTTTTTTCACAATTGATTTCAAACGAAAATGCAAAATCAATAATTTGTGTGTTACATTTTTATCAGTTATGGTTGTGTTAATTCAAAAAAGCACATGATTATACTTATGGTTACAAAATTTGAAACACATTTGACTACATGTTTGCTACATTGTTTATTTTCAGTAATTTACCATACTCTTAAAATGATTAAACGACTTAAACGGATCATGTGATCGCTATAAATAGACCAAGTGATAAAGCATTGACCACACACGGTTCCTTGTCATTTATTTAACCACTTATTTGTCAGTTTCCAAAGATTGCTACAGCGGTATGGTTACTGGAATGATCATTATTAAATTAGTGTCATAAAGCGTCATATTCCACGACAAGCAATTAAATGGAAATTCATCTCGTGTCATTTCAAATATTCTAAACTGACCACACCAATGTAATTAGGTTTATTATTTTTCTAAGAAATTATCATCACTTGAATCCACAATCAACATAAAACCAAAATAACACATAACATGACCGGCTTTAGGTGTTCTTTAATCATTAATTTTATGAATATTTTAACATTTAGAAGTTTAAGTGGAATCATTTATATTTGTTGCATAAGTAAAGATAGACAGAAAAAGTGAAGAGCTATTCCCTGATACTGTTACCATATCTAACTAAATAATACGGGGCACGGGGCTGTAGGGTGAAAGGCATTACAAGTAAATATTGTTGTATTTTATCTATATCCTCACATAACATCTCATTAATTCCTTACAAAAAACAATAACAACAATTAAAACTAAGACAACATCACTAACAAACGACGGGTATTTTTGTTGATGTTGTTGTTGTTGTTGTATTTTGAGAAACGATGACACTTAATAAAGAGCCCTACTATATAAAGATATTTCATTTAGAAACAGGCATACAGACATACATATGTAAATAATATGCATCGTATAAATATCAAACATACATATAAATGCAGTTATGTATACTGTGGCGATGTACCATTAGATTAATCTTTATTGTCGTGTTTACGTAAACGGTATGTAGGTAACGGAGCATTCACTAGGTCCACAGGTTCAAATTGAAACACATCCGGCCAAGAATCGCAAATAGATAAAAAAAAAAAGTGTGTGCGTGTGCGGGGGGGGGGGGCGCTCTAAGTAAAGCATCCATGAAGCTCTTTAAATTTGAGTCAAGAGACTGTGTGTTCCTAACGGCAATTGGTTTATACTCTTAGTTTCGAAACCGAAGCAGGACTTAGAAACATATGTGCTGATCTCTTAGGCCTAACCACACGCGATGTCTGACGTCGTAATGTGTTACACCAATTGTAATAATTTCATTAAATATTTTTATATGTATGAGAAAATGAGAGTATTTAATGCAGTTCACTTTTTACAATATGTCTACATAGATTATAATCGAAAGCAGTGTTTTTGCTAGCGATTTGTGGGAAAATGTCGAGGACATATGGTAAAGACGAATGAACCGGGATCGTGTCAGGTGTAGTAATTAAAAGTTTTAAATATTAACATGAGAAAACTATAAAATATGCGTATAAACCTAGTAGAACACTAAATGTCTTATCATGTCAAAGAATAATCTTCAAATGTTTAACATCATCAATACGCTAATAAAAATTGACCGTTTTTTATAGCAGACGGTCAAATTTACAATATGCATCGGAAAGAAAAGTTTCGAACGGAAGATATAGTCTTTAAAGATTTTCTTCTTGTTTCTATCACGAATTCATGAATCTAAGATTCAAAGTAAGAAATAGAACATTCATTTTTGGAATATTTTTGGGTATAGATAAATTTTGGTGTACATTATTATTTAATAAAACGCGATAACAGCTTTCTGCATAATTTACTGCATACTGTTCCATATGTGCGCTGATTACGACAGGTGCCGAGTACGAACCGCTTGATTTAATTACGAAGTAACACCGAAATTACTGCATATATGATCATGATGGGGGTAATTAATAAAATGTTACGACTTTTAATTCGGCTGAAGCTCTTTATCCTGTTAATCTTTAGTAAGTAAAATATACCCCAATTTTAAATACCAAGAATATAATCGTGTTTCATTTGCGTTTTGAACTAAACCGAATGTGTCGTCTGCTGTATAAGCAGTTCAACAAGTGCAACAAATAACAGTTAGTTAATAAACAATTCTGAGGTCATCCAGTTGAATCAAAAGTAATATTTTCATAAAGAGATGTGTATAAAATCAAATATTTACATGAATTCATTAGCGATTTAAAGCATAGCCAATCTTGCCGACGTTAAAATCCAGTGTCCGGCCTTTCAATTACCGTGATTAAACGGAGTTTTGACCTGTAAACTAATCTTTGATATTTCGCGGCAATTATACGTTTTTGCTGACCCCCATGTGAGCTATACGATTATGTGAGAATCATTTGTGGAAATCCTAGACGATTTAGCAAATTATGAAAGTCTCACAGCGTAATACAATCGTTCTAAAATAACAGGGCACGAAAGTGATAATAAATGTTCAATATTAATGATTTACATATTGTAAAAGCGTTTATTTTAGCTGTTTAGATCTAAACAAAATATGTATTGCTAACGTACTTCAATGGCGATTGTATGTTTTGCGCTGAGCTTGTTATTTTATTATCGCTATGCTTTGAAAACGTAATGTGTAATAAATGTTATGTTGCGTGACAATCACGTGACTTGATAGAAACATAAAACAGAATTAAGATACCCATCACAATATCTCATATTTATAGTAAATGTTTTTGCCATCAAATTGACCTAATATGATATTTTATGACAGTTTTTTATGGATTTAAACATATGAATGATTAAATTGTTAAATTTACTTAATCTAAAAAGTTTGATTACAGTAATATGTAAGCGCATATGCGTTATTTCGCTGGATTTTATCTGTGAAGTGGAAGCTGAAAATATCTTCAGAAAAAAATATTGATATAACATATAAACAACGACTATTATTTTACAGTACAGATCAATTTGAATAAAGATGTAAATTGTACAAAATACCTCTTTTTCAAAGCTGAGGTGAAATTATGTAGTAAATGCTAAAAACTGATTAAAACACGCTTGTGTGGAGGATCCGGGTAGATCGCAGTAGATAGGCACTGCGGTTGAAAATTATTAATATTATCATTCGAGATCTACAGACATGGGATAATTGTTATCCAGTTGTAGTTTTTTGCACTATCTATCTATACACTTATAAGGAAAACTTTCAAGAAGGATTATTAGAAATGGCATGAAGCAGCATTACAGCATTGTGGTTTATTTTACTGGTAATGATATTTCCGGGCGCCGGTGGCCGAGCGACTTAAATTTTAATGTTATGCCATTGCAACGCTTAAGGAATAACGTTGGAAAGCTCACTTTTGTCCTTTTATAACGTAAAAATGTTTGCAATGTGAACGCTGAATATATTAATACATGTAAACACCTTCAGTATATCTTCTTCAGGCGACATAAGAGGATTAAAGAAGAGATAATAATGTCATGTCTATGTTACTTTTTCTGTATCAAACTCCACTAATTTATTTCATTGTTCTAAAACATCCTAAGAGTATTAAGACAATAGGAGCTCATTTAAACGATTATAGAAATTGAACTAGCAAAAATGAATATTTTTCAAAGGAAATATTATTTTAATGTTAAATGCACTCATGTAGATATTCATTAAATGCCTTATTTCATGATGTGATTAAAAGATATTTGGATATGCTTGTAGCTTTGAGATACTTTATTATGCAACATGTTTGAATATTTTGGTTCATAAATTATGTATAATGTTCTCATCTCACGTATTTTATCATGCCATTTACGCTGACTATGATAAAGTAGTACTGTACATTGTTACAGGAACTTAAATATTTAAGTAAATTAGTAACATCATTTAACTGTATTATATTACTGTAATGTTCTATAATACATACGAGTTTCAAGAGCAATATTTCATTCAAGTACAATTGATTGTAATCATAAAAATCATTTTACTAAATAGTTTTAATAAATAATTTAAGAAAATTATTTTAAAAATTAAGAGATGCCTTTTCATATTTTTGTAGGGATATATTATTAAAAAATACACAAAAACAAACGAAACAAAACAAACCAGTGGGGCAAATTTTTATGATTTATTATGTGACTAATATTTTCAATTGTTTTCTTTAAAGAAAAGTGGAAATTAAGAAAAGTTAAACGTGTTTTATTGCAACCTGTATTTCTTGTGAATAGATACAATTTGTTGAACAAAGCTGAAAAAGTGCAACCCCTTTTCAGTCAGTCCGAAATTTGGAAAAAGAAAAAATTCCGATTTTTCCAATATCAGATAAAACATTCCTCGTAGTTGACATTGATCATAAATTACAGTCGTGTTGAACGTTTGAAATGATTGTTTTTAATGTACTGTACCACCGTATGGTCGGTTTATTGGTTTGAGTATAAACCGAATTGATCAGTAATATTTGCAAGTCTTTTTATGGTACTAATTACTACTGTCAAGGTTGACTTCTTGTTTTTATCTTCAAGAAAGATTCACGTAGTTAACTGAAAAAATATGATTGCCAATATGTTCAGTATTTCAAAGAAAACGGTGACTAAAGATTAAGTAATTATTGGTTGAAAACAGGGTAGGAGCAGTTGTAATTGAAATGTGGCGTGTCCGATTTACAAGTTCCAAGAAGAACAAAGTCTCGCCAGTATGTTTCCTGGAAAAGAAAAATGCACATTACATGCCACGGCTCTCTAACCGCGAAAACAGCAACACGGAAACATGTTCCATAGATAAATAGATATTATTACATATGGTGGTAGTGTATAAACAAATAAAAACAGACTGCTCAGTTAAGCCAAGCTGTGTCATTTGGTTTACCGAACCTTGTTATATTTTCCGTCAGCTTTGACAAACGACTGCACGAGACGAAAATGACATTCACGTTCACGTTGTCATGGCGATGACGGTAATGTACATTTCGATCCATCAAACTTAACCGCGTGTTCTGCTCCGATTCAACGTTACTTTTTTGCCAATGTCATATTTAATAAGAATACATATTAAACGAGAGAGCTGGTTTGTCGTTTGAACGGTGGCAAGTTTGAAATGCCTCGGCTCATTCTCGTAAAAAGAATCGCCGGTAATAAATCTGACATTATACTTTATTTCAACGTGCATTTTTATAATTAATTGAAATGATTTATAATGGCCAGAATGCTACAATATTAATAAGGCTGTAATGACGATGTTTTGATCTCTTTATTCATAATGAAACAAAGGCTGTTTTACAGTTCATGACATACATTGTTTGGTGGGGACGAACGTTCGTAAAGGGTAGTGCAACGTTTTCTTTGTTTGTATAACGCCACACATTTTGGACTTCTTTGAAATGTGAATCCATACACTCTCAAAAAGAACACTTCATGTTTTTGGAATTCGTAACATATGTTTTATGTTGGTTCAAATTATTGTGTAGTCTGTATATAATATTTTATGTTAACAGAAAACATATTTTATATTTTCTTTTCCCGACATAGATATTTTATCAAGTTTGTTTTCTTATGAATTAATACAGCATGACATATATATATACATAAAGCCAAATATGAACAAAAATACAGTAGACTTTTTATATAACTAATTTTCCACGTTAACGTCATATTCCTTATCATATTCATCGTTTAAAGAGAGTTGCTTTAAACCGATACAGTTGACATGATCTAGAAAACGGGGACGACAATTTAACGATACTGGTCATACGTTTGGCGCCATTCTTTGTCCCTCGAGATAGAATCCGCTTTATTTCAGTACATGTAACTTACTCATGTATAATAATATGTAAAGTAAAAACAAAGTAAATGTAGTTTCTATGTCCTTAAAATTAATATTAACATGTATTACAATCGGCGAAAAGAAAATCTAAAAAACAAAACAGCACACAAAAAGTTATAGCTTCCACATTTTATATTTTAAAATTAAAACATTGAGGGTTAGTTTGTATTACAATTTTCCAAGTACGAGACTAAAGTGTTACTGAAAATTATTGTGCAATCGTCGGCTTTGAATTATGCATAAGGAAAATGACCAATACTATGATGAGACAAAACTTGTCCCACTGGATTTATTTTAGAAGGTTTGGTGTACGTGGACACCATACAAAAATAAATTAAAAAAACTTTTTAAGTGTGTATTGTTTTGACTTGTAATGCTAGTATAAGTTAAGCGTGCAATTTATAGAACAAAATCTAAATGAAGAGAATAACAATAGAAAATGTTTAAAACTCTAGAAGTATGATATGAACATAAAGAAGTTAGCCGATATTGTTCATCTCATATAATGTAATTAAATGGTCAACACACACACACACACACATATGTATAAAATGCGACCAAATATTTCCCCTTGTGTATAAATAATCATTAATCAATTACATGTATATACTAGTACTCGTATGGTGAAAATCTTCATTTTAATTATCTAGATTTTCAAACATGTCTCTTTATTGGAGACGATTTTTGTATGCAATTAAAAAACTATATAAAACGTCTTATCTTTTCAAACAGCTTAAAGTTAAAGAATGAAAGTTATCCTCACTTTGAAAAAAAATATAATGATTTTGTTGTTAATGTTTTTTGTTGTAATTTCAGCACATTAGTATATCTTGTGTGTTTTTCAGGGTATGGACGATACTGGGGGATATTTGGACCAAAATCAGTCAGTCATAAGAAAAGGTAAGCATAAGAGTTACATAAATAGATTAATAATAAAAATAATATTTATAAAGGTCATGCACCCGAACAAAAATAACTGTAAATTACAACAAAATAAAAAGAGTTGTAAATTACTACAAAATAAAAGAGCTGTAAATTACAACAAAATAAAAGAGCTGTAAATTACAACAAAATAAAAGAGCTGTAAATTACAACAAAATAAAAGAGCTGTAAATTACCCGTATTAATTTATTACGTTCTCTCCTGTTCAAAACTTTGTTATCTTTGATACGTGATGGAGACTTTTGGGTCGAAACGTTTTTGATGATTACAAGTCAACTGTCTTCATATTTAGAGCGAATAGATATTGCCTGAAGTTATATGACGTTCACAACGTTTTGTGTATATCAGACAAAAAACAATGCAATTTAAAATTTAAACTGGAGTTGATTTCTACAATTAAACTTACATTATCTTTGATATTAAATTATCGGGGAAATTTTCGAGGAATTTAAAAAACAAACAACACCACACACTTCATATTAAACGAAACACATAATTTTGAAGAGAAAAAAGGCGTTAGTTATATGTGCATGTATGTTATGAACATGACAAGGTATTTCAGTTGTTACAGACTCACGATAAACTAACGAAAAATTAAAACAAGAGTTCAATATATTTTGAGTAAAATCAAACACATCTGTATATTAGCTATCTTATTTCATAACACAATTAATGTATCTAATTTCTGATATTGGCGCAGCACACTAGCATAAATCAAATATCCACAATCGCAATGACGTCACAATAACTTTCCATATGCTTTAACTTAAAAGCATAAAATACAAATCCAAAAATAAACTGGTATCCCTCAGAAATTCTACACATATGTTCATTTTGCTAAGAAAATGCGCAAAGAAAATCCAAGTTTCAATTAATTGGCATCGCAAACACAGTTTTCAATGCTAAAACACTGTAAGAACATGTATATTTCCACAAGGTCGAAAATATAACTAAACTTAAAAACATTATGTTTGTCCAACTCTTTCCTAAATGCAATGTCCGTAAGTTAACAAAATGATTACAAGTCAACTGTCTTCATATTTAGAGCGAATAGATATTGCCTGAAGTTATATGACGTTCACAACGTTTTGTGTATATCAGACAAAAATCAAGACAAGTCATCTTGCCAAAGGCTCTCCCCCGTAGGCAACCATATGATCTTACTATAATTGCCCAGAGCATCTCACAAATAATATTAACTTGACATATAATCTGAATGAACTTTACATTTGCATGTTGTCACTTTATTTTCAAAACATACAGTGATTTTTTTTATTTATTTTTCTTATTTAAGGCATTTGGACAAGGTATTCAATGTTTTGATAATTTTGGTGCTTAAATAATTTTTTTCTCTAGCTGAAATATTATCTTATTTTACTTAAGTTGTTGCTTTTTCTTTACCGAAAACGTCATAATTGCTATGGACGCAATGAATAGCAACCTCATAAACTAAGCGTAATAATCGAGTTGATCAAGAAACAATGAGTCACGTAATTTCCTTTTAGCTGGAACAATTAAAGTACATTAAACTTCAAACAAGAATTTCTTCTGTCACTTTGTATGCATTTTTGTCCGATTTCCGTTAGAACAGTTCATTTTACTACAAACGGACGTCCGTGATGTTTATTTGCTCAACAAAGCATATGTTAACTTCTGCCTATCTGCCTTTACATGCATTCCACATATAAGTTATTTTCGCCTGTCCTACTTGCTTGTCTTCATTAACATTAGTGTAGTTTTTATGGCCTTCTTCATACTGCACGACAACAATAACGGACTTGGCAAATCAAACTGATTAGTTCAGCACATCCGGCATAAAAAGACGCTAACAAAACACATGAAGCATGCACTTCTTTCGTCTAATTCGATTTTTTTACTTACATGTTTCTTGTCCTTTATTACACAATCTGTGGTATATGTTTTGGCTTATAAAATTATAGTTCTGTTTTGTTTCACAGGATCTTCGTTTATTATCGAATACATTACATATTCGACCCAATAAACATTGGCATTTATTATTGCGGTAAATTTGCACTGCATAACTACTTTTTCTTTTGAAATATTTCATTTACACCAACCGGAAGATCATTGATTTTTAATTGGAATTTTTATATTATGTTAATCAGTTTGTGCTTATTGTTGTTTTGTTGTTTGCCAGTATTTAGCTTCTGACCGTTTCTTGCCAAAAGTAATAGTAATGATTAAAACAACAATTTTTAAAGCACCATCTATGGAACAAATGTAATGGATAATAATACTACCAAGAAATGTAATAAGTAACAATTAATATATGCGTACTATTCGCATGGCTTTCAATGGTGATGTTTGTTTTGGACATTACGCTTTGAAATTAGTTTTCTTGATAATGGGTAGGTATTTATAGACGGTAGTGTATTTGTCAACCGCTATAAAATAGCGCTGAAAGCGACTATTGTCATCTGAAATGGAGGAAATAAAAACGTCATGGATGAGGTCTTTAATACGAGCTTATAAATTCATATTTGATGTTATCTTGTAAACGAGATGTCACTTTTCGTATCTTAATTTAGTTCGTCATTTTAAATCAGAATTTAATTTGCTCCACTCTAAAAAGTATTAGTACACATCAGATATTAAGAGAAATAGGTCTAAACACTTGTTTTTGAATGTTTTGATACTGATTCATTGAGAGAATCTCTTATGACAGCTAACTGGCGTCTTTTGAGTTTTACTTTGTTTTGGGGTCTTTGTTCTCTTTGAGGGGAGTGGGGTTCAAATGATATAAACAGCAATATCATCTTGCATATCTAAACCTATTTGGATCTTTTTTTTATTCGGCTACAAATATATATTTATAAATGTGTAACTAAAAACCTCTATAATTTTTGCATACATTACCTTTTCACATTGTTTCATTTCTGAAAAGAGGAGAAATTACTCTTTTGTATCTTTTAACTATATAGGAACCATGGGGAAATAATTTTAAATTTTATATTTGCTTTGTTCTCTCTATAGTCAGACACTTTCACCTTTTATATCGTATGTTAAACGTAACACAATTGTAGTTTATTAAATCGAACTTATAAAATCAATGTTTGCAGCCTGCACTCAAGTTGCTACATCAGACACTATATTATTTTATGTGTGTCTAGAACCACATTTTGGCCTCCGAACAAGAACAATATTAAAAAACCACAAAACAGGTTATTTTCTTTATCAAATAGCACTATGAAAAAGTTTATGGAGGTTATGCATGTTTTCGTTTATATTCCTATTACACACGTTGTAAAATGAAGTTTTGTATATGAATTATAACTTATTCATATGCGTTAAAGTATGGTTTTATACAGTGTACAAAAATTTGGCAAATCTTCCTATACGAAGTATATATATAATTGTAGTCGCTAATACGACGGAAAGGGACATTAACTATGTTATCAGATAATAGAAACGTTTTTTAAGGATACATTAAAATATCAAAGTTTTGATATTATCCAAATAAATGTGAATTTTCAGCTCGTGTCAGGACCTTCGCGACAGTCAAATGACCATTTCTATATGAAATGTTAAATATAGGATATCTTTAAAAGATATGAAAATACACAAATCCATTGATAGAAATTTATATCTTAACAAATTATTTGAATTCGAATTTTTTTCTTTATATTTAATGTATTTCATTATCATTATCACCACCATCATACTATTATTATTGTTGTTGTTGATGATATTATTTTGAAATAACATATTTATCTATTTAGTATATAAATATCATGAAACTTGTCTTAGCATCAAACATAACATTTACAGAAAAAAACAAGGTTTCGTCCTTATTTTGTTTTTGCTTTTACAATATTTCGAGATTTTAATTCACCTCGTAAGGTCTTGACAAATAATATGAAGTAACACAATGTTAGGAGTGTGGCCCTCAAAATCTTATTTCAGTAAAAGGATTATTCATGTGTTTTGTTTACTTAAAGGATATTAATGTCCTCTGGACTGAATTAATTTGTTGGATTAAGAAATTTTGATAAAATGTCTAAATTTTAACAGGTGTACAGTCACAGGATCGGACACTGTTCACACTTCCTGTTCGGTCTTTAACATTGTTCTTTTCATTTCTTTGATCAAACCTTAATCCCCCTTTCCTTTTCATTAATATTGTCCTATTTTCAACTCTTAAATACATTCGTAATTTCAAGTGCATGATAATACTGTATATTAGTATTTATTTGGTTTAAGAATGTATTTTATGACCCCTGCTCTCGATACATAGACAAACATGTATATATGTCTGATGGATAATTACATGATGATTACGTTTTGAAAAAAAAGAGATACGAATGTATATACTTTGATATAAAATGGCTCATGTATTAAAACAAGTCTAGAAAAAATGTAGGATGCCATTGTATTTTTACAAGATTTTGTGTGACTTTAGAGGAAAATCCCACTTTAAACACATGCATAAAATACTTATGCACATATGCAACAGCCAAATAATATATACTTTCTTTGAAATTTACTTGCGTTCTTAACACCTGCCTCATTATAATTGTATAATGAAATTGTATCCTTTAAACAATTCACTGTCACATGGAATCGTAATAATTAACGTGTATATGATTCAAATTTTATTTTTGTGATATTTTTTTTTCAAAATTATTTGATTATCACCATAAATTTTGATACAGAAAAAATAGATTTATATTTGACCGTTTAATATGGGACACAATTTACGCGTTTTTTTGGCTTTTTAGGTAAAACAAATAGCTACGTTTGCATACTGAATATTTTATTCCCGTGAAAATACATTTTTGGTTCAGTCATTTGGCTAGAGTAAAGTCCCCAGTCACATAATTACTGATAAAATAGATGTAAATCACGTAGCCGATAAAAATAACTATCCTAAACCCGACAAATGAAAAACTCATCAGTATTCTGGACACTACACAATGCCAGTTAATGTAAAAGGTCCTTACCTAATAACACAGTAACAAAATATAAAAGCGTAATTCAAAATAAATCATAACTCCCAAACAGACACACTGACACCCTAAACTACGGTGAAATTACCGCTAACGCAGCTTAGAACAAAAGAAAATAATATTTCAGGTATTTAGGAACATCAATCACGCCGACAAAATTTGCATAATTAGTTTTGAGCCGTGTCAGGTGTTAGAGCATTGAATCAGACTTGGTCCTTTGCATCGATTTTCCTGGTAGAATCTAGTCCTTTCCTGTGATTTACAACGAGCATCCTTCGACTCTCATCTAATCGCATTGTTCCGTCGTAACCTTCTTACGCCGAAAAAAAATCAGAAAAATGGAATGGGAATTCGCAAGAGAAAGCACGGAGGCAATTGAATTAGTTCCGTATTTCCATATTAGCACCAATTTAAAATCTAATGAGAGCAAATTGAGATCTCAGATTGGACAACGGAGCTCGACAGCTCGATCAGCACTTAATTCTACAAATTATTATCTTTGGGAAGCAGCGTTTAATTTGATCTGTCGGATTCACACTTCCGCGACAAACTTGTTGTCATAATGATCCAAAAATATGAAACTGATCTGACAGCAATTTGAAGTGGTAGTGAGAGTGTTTTGAAGAGTTGTGTGGTATTAGGGCCGTTGGGTTTATTGTGTACTGAACAGATGATTGATCTTTACGTTTCTTTTATAATCTTTATTGTTGTTACTGGTTAATTGATGTGTTACGCTGTAATGGTATCGTTTCGTAAATTCCATATACCATTTCATTTTGCTTCTGTCAGTAAAAAATTCAGCACCGGTATATAACGTTTGGCTAATCTCTTATTATATTCAGTGTTGATATAGTCTTGGTACACTGCAACAATGTCTAGTGTGCATTAGTGTGAGGAACCGCTTTCACGATTAGCAAGGACAATCATTAACAATATAATATATTTAATATAGTAGTCCCAGGTCTCGAAGAGAAATTTCAACTATCAATAACAATAGACCTACCATACCAAATCAATAACTAGTTACAATTTTAGTATGTTATCTTTAAATGCTTTTCAATAAATTCTGATACAAATAACAATCATGGAAATGTATTTAATTGAAGAATTCAGTATCAAAATAATTTGAACTTGTTAAACAAACTCAAACTAACACAATACACGTATATACGATAAAAAAAAGTCATTCTATTATCCCACTATGACCGGAACATATTAAGATAATCTTTGTAAAAATGTTTATCAAGTTTGTTTTTCTTTGAATTTATATACTGATGAATTCTGAAGTGTTTGACGTTTTATTTGTACAATATCTAAAGTAGAAATATATGTTGTTTTCTTACTTGTGCAAAGAAAGCTGCTGAACAGATTCAATATTTAAGAAAATATTTATTTATTTTTACTTAATTTAGTCTGTAGTGTCGAAATATTTAAATAACGATCTAAATATTTCTTTTCTGATTATGCAGTTATTTTATTAAACAATGTGTTGCCTAAATAGTACAATATGTCGTCTAAATGAATAAATATTTCATTTCGTCGCCTAATTAATGTGACTTTATCCTTATTACTTTGTCTAAATAAAATAAATGATTTTACTTTATTGCTTTAATATCTTATTGTTTAGAATTCATGAAAACGGCTGAAAAAATGTGACCTTTTTTACAATTGCAAAACACTTGCAATTGTGCTAAAAGGTGGATAACTATTTCAATGAGAAAATATTATAATAATGCTGCTATCAAATGTGGATTAATATTTCGCTATATCCGTTAATTGGTGCGTATATATCACGAAATACATGTATACTCACAATAACGAAGTTATTAAATATGATAGCTAAAACTGCATAAATATTTGGTTATTTTACTTATGTTTACTCAATGATAAAATGTTTTTATCATCTTTACAAACTGGAGATAAATTGTTGTCTGTATTCCCAAAGTGACAACGTCTTCCATTCTGTGGTCATAACTGTATAGTTAACAAGTGTGACTGAAGGCGCTTTCGTATTTGGTTATACGTGTAGTCCTGAAATGATTACTTTTGTTTTTCGTTGTTTTTCTGAATGGACACACTAGATTACTGGTAAATATTAGTGAATTTTACAGGCATACATATATCACTTTTTGACATAATTCTGAAATATGCACGCATTTATTGCAGGTATTCGACCTAAGTTAGAAAACGGCAAACAACTAATGATCACCTCTTCATTGACTGGTGGCGCCCCCACAGATGTGTTCTGTTCTGTTCCAGGACGTCTTTCTCTCCTAAGCTCAACCTCAAAATATAAAGTCACAGTAGCCGAGGTCCAACGAAGATTGTCTCCCCCTGAATGTCTCAATGCATCGTTACTAGGTGGAGTTTTGCGAAGGTAATATTATTTTTACAGTTGTATAAGCTGTTTTGAATTTGTATCCCTTTAAAGATTCTAATACTAACCATCTTAACTATTGCGTGTGACTGTATATGTTTTTAATGCGAGCATGCATATTTTGTACAATATTACTCATGTTTGATTTCGATTTTATTGACAATTCAAGGGAATGTTTAAAGTTTTCATCTGATTATTTACATTTGGCCTATATGTGATCAGAAAGGCATCACAAAGGCAACAGCTTGCATATGATTCAAATGTTAAAAAGGTCAGATAGGTCAGTTATTAATAAGGCTAACAAATTATGTCTATTTTACATTAAACCGATGCTTCGGCGTCTGCAATATGACTGTCCCCTTTCAGTTATTTTAACACTAGCATTTAGATCAGCACACGCTGGCCGAATACAAACCACGGGGATTATGCAATCGCAATAGACTAAACATAAGATTATCATTGCTTAACTTTTAATGCATTTTTAAATTTCAAAATCATAAATTTGTGTGTTGTTTTTTTTTGTTTTGTTTGTTTGTTGGTTGGTTTCTTTACCGAACAATAACGTAGAACCATTAGTTTTTGAACAAGTAAATTAACAGAAACACATTAGCCTGAATGTAAAACTAAGTGAACTGATTTTGTCTTGAAAGAGTTTATCAGAATTAATTTTTCAAAGCTTAAAGAAGAAGTTACTCTATATTACGAGTGGAAGTTGTAAAATGTCTGCATTTTGAATTATTAAATGCCTTATGTTGTATTTGTGTTCTCTGTAAAACGAAAATTGAATGTGGAAATATGAAATAATAATAATGTTAGGAAATCAGAGGAACAGGAAACAAAAATCATTTCTTCTACATATAATCTGTTTTACACAAAATGAAAGATAAAAATGGAAATAATGGTTACATAACCATAAACACAACCATACATGAGTGAACTTTCATTTTAGAACTTTTGATAAATTGATTCAGAATATATTACGTATGATACATGTACTTTATTCTAGTAATCACAACTCTTTATATACATATTTTGAACGATTTTAAATTTGTGTGGCCGCACAATCTTAGAGTGTATAAATTAAGGTTGATAGTTTTGTTTGTGAATGCCCACACTCAATTCTTAAAACAGTATAAACAGTGACATTTCTGTACATATGCATTATTGCCAGGATAAAGTTTAGCTAACAGTTTTTTCGCATTCTTAAACTTAAAACGTGCTCGTGAATCGAACTTTGTGACAAATTTCGAGAGATCCTGTAAGGTCAAAATCCACTTGAAATCAAATATAACTTAATAAGGTGACTAATGGGATAGAGTAGTCATTACAGAACGGACGGATAACATAAATCTTGGCGACACAGAGAAATGCGAAACAACTGCACTGTATAAGAGATATTCTGATGCCGAAGTCACCGTCAATGGTATCGTGCACCCTTGTAAAAATAGAATACTATATCAAGAAATTGGCGTTAGTTTATGGAGTGATAATTCTGCTCTTCTCAAGAGCCCTTGTCACCTTCCCTCTAGAATTTGATACCTTTTTAACTATGTTGATTGACTGGCAAGGTATGCCCCTTTTCAAAAATGACCTCAGACGTGAGCCCAATGCAATTAAATCTTCGTTTCCTTTATTCTGTATTTTTCCGCTTTACGGCTATTGCAATTTTCTTGTCGTTATTTTCACTGTCTTGAGTTTCGTTTAGTAAATAAGTCTTGTTTTTCCTCTCATTACAAAGTAACGATGTATCTGTATCAATGTGTGGGCCTAATGCATGTCTTTTAAAACGAATACATTTGTGATAATATTTTGTGTAACAGTTTGCCACTGGATTTTAAATTGGTTAAAACTTTATATTTTCATTTTCCTCATAAGATTTTTGTATAAGTGACTCATGTAAACCGAGTATATCATATCATTTCACCCCAACCCCTCCCTTGAATTTTAGGGAAAACACAACCGAAAAACGTTGTTGCATTCAGTTTTGTGTTTGCTGCTGAATAAATTGTCATCTTCCACAGACCATAAATAGAAGTGGTCATCAGTTGGAAATTTTGAGAGCCTTTAAGTCGTGGTTGCAAATCGGTTACCATGCAAAGCATTGTAGGAGCACATTTGTCTCGGAGCACATTTGTCTCACGAAGTGTGACCGATGTGTTCGTAAACATTCATATTTGTGACAAATTAGAAATGAGACGGATGTGTTCGACACACAATAGAAAGGACACTAAAAGCACATTTGTCTCACATTTTTTCAATAAAATTCATAAAATGTAATAATTTTATCCATCTGTATAACGGCTACCAGCCATTGTTCTGTGTTTTCTGTATTTATAATACCGTTTTGAGGTCACTTCCGGTCAGTCAAAAACTTCCTGCCTCTGCATAGGAGTCATATATTAAATTAAAGAATATCCCTGTTCTGCATGTCACAATGAAAATTTCTACAAGTGCAGCATCCAGAACCTAAACACATATGCAGCAAGTCTATTCTTATCGTTATCAATTGTGATACGTCTATTTTCAATGCTTAAAGTTTTATAGATGATTTATGGCACTAGAAATATTCTTAGCAAAAACAAGGTAGTATCTACGGTGGCATAAAGGGGACATAGAATTTTCTTATTTATTACGTGCGCACACAATAGCTTTTCCGTGGCCACGCGATACTATTACGTGCGCACGCGATAGCTATTACGTGCGCACGCGCATATGTATTGCGCATTTGGACCCTGACCGGGATCCTCGCATGAATAGTTCGACGCCCCGTGTATGTGTCGAACCTACAGCGGTTAGGGGCAAGTGGTTTTTCGAAATCACTCGGCCACGGAGGCCCTTAAATGATCCATGGAAAAATAAGAAGACCATTACACACGTTTTTCGTTTTCATCAGAAATATATGTATAAAAAGTCGTCATTTTCCAAGAATTGCAGCTTTCAGTTTCGCCATTAAAAAGGCACTTACAACATGCAGGAGTTCCTAAAATAATCCGGGAATGCCATAATTATGGAATATCGGGCCACTCAGAATCGGGCGGGACGCGACATTCCGATGAGACACTAAGCGAGGCACGATATTGTAACAGGAGATCTCGCAATGTCGAAGTATCCCGTACCAAGAGATTTCAGAAATGAATAAATTTTTACTTCTTTAGATAGGGCAAGTATGAATTTATTAATATTCAAATAATGATTTCTGAAGAAGTTAGATGCTTGTAACCCAAAGAAATTCGCGATAAATGTGAAATAATGCGTCATAACAGTAGAAAAATGTAAACAATGTAGTATTTTGACTTCAATACAAAATTCTACATCACTTCAACTGTACAAACCAAAAAAAAGCAGCAGATGAAAAATGCTTCAGATAATTAGCCAATGAGTAACTTTTTGGAGCTAAAAAAGTATACCAAAAATAAAAAGCTCTTGATGAATACAAATAAAAGCATTTCTCAGGCATAATGGGCCTTTAAGTGATTTTATGTAGACTATAAAGGGAATACTACTTAGCGGTATATGACCTGGAATCAATTTCTTGTCTCGCGTCGACGAACGGGATGCGAAGCGAGACGCAAGATTTCGCGAGACGCAAGATTTCGGCGAGATGCAAAACGAGTCACGATATTGTATCATTCATTATCAACCGATTATGGTGTTCCGTTTGGACATAAGTAACATTTTTGTCTCCCTGAACAGCTATGCACAATGAAACAAAGGTGAAATTGAGATGGTACGATGGTACGATGATTAAAACACGATGGCACGATGATGAAATCACGATGATGCGATGACACGATAGAGAAAATAATATCGCGTTTTCATCATCATGCCATCGCAGTTTCATCATATCGTACCATCGTATTTTCACCATTGTAACGTCGTCTTTCATCAAAGTACCATCACGTTTTCATCATCGAGCCTTCGTTGTTTCACCATCATACAATCGTTGTTTCACCGTTTAACCATCGTACAATCGTTGTTTAACGTTTATACCATTGTGTTTTCACCATCGCACCATCGCTTTTTCATCAACGTACCATCGTGCCATCGCGCTGTCACCATTGTACCATCGTGAACGGGATTTAGTATGTTTCAGTGTACGCCTTCAGGTTAAGTCAATCAATTTCTTGAATTAGAGATATTATAATTAATAGTTCACTGTAGGTTTTCATAAAGAAAGCATAAGCAAACCTATTGATGATTACACTTGAGGTAAAACGGCGAACCTCGATTCTAAAAAAGAATTTCTGCCGTGGGGAAATATGTGACAAATAATTCATAAAAAATGACATGAGACAAATGTGCTTTCTTGTCCCTTAAAAACACATGAGACAAATGTGCTTTCTTGTCCCTTAAAAAACTTGATCGGAGCACATTTGTCACACAAATGAGTTTTTTTGGGTAGACATTTGAGGTCCCATTTGTCTCATGTGGGACAAATGCGACCGCATCGGTCTTACGTAAGACAAATGTGCTCCGAGACAAATGTGCTCCTACAAAGCATACCCTATAGTAATTTGAACATCAGTTTTGACTGCTGTTTGAAGTATTTCCGAAACCCGCACTTACCACAGATGTAACACATTATTATGTCAACATATAAGTTCTATTTTTGCTTTTCTATTTCATTCATAATCTCTAGTTTAATACTCCACTGTTTGCATGTTTATACTGATAGATCTTTTTAATGGCTACTACTTTACAATGGGTGCATTTAATAAAATAATAGTTTTGGAAATGTTATAACAAAATAAATGTCATTTTACAATAGAAATACGGTTGTATAAAACTGTGAGAAGCGAGAGATTAGCTTGCTAACACCTGTCTTATCGTATCTTTGACTGCATCGGTGAAACAATTAATACAAGATTTAATTAAACACATCAAAGGAAGAATAGTGGAGACCCCCACTATTTTATTCTGCTATGAAACATTTAAATCTATACAAAATACTTTTGCAATGTATATGGATTATTCAATACTTTCATCATTAAGATTTTTATTATTACTTGCAAGATTGCCGATGCAGATTGGGAAGGTTAAATAAGTGAGAAGTTTGTTTTATCAACAATACAGCATCTTTTTATTGTGACATTCCAGACATAACCCGACTTGCAGAATAAATATATTCAGTGGCAGAAATAGATACATCTGATCTGATAAACAAAGCAGTTTTCACGAGGCTCTCTTGCGATCTATTCACACTTGCAATTTATTACATAATCATAAGTTAGGTAACACGGTAACAAAATTGAAATGGTCATAATTTTCGAAACGTGTCTTAACAGTGTGAAATGATGGACTGATAATATTATATTATTTGACGTGGTTCACACAAATAGGTTAAAGTTGTAGGTTTAAACATGATGGAAGCTCTAAATATGGAATGTTATTATGATTGGTCACCTTGTGCACTTATTTATGCACTTATATAAATATCTAATATCTTAAAGCCTTCCAAACTTCAGAAAAAATAATATCATAACATCATAATTCATCATTTTAAGTAAATTCACGTGAAGTTTTAAAAAAAGTCGTTGTTGTTTATAATATATACGACAATCAATAATAATCCCGACAATCGTTAATCAGAACCCTTTTTGCTGTTTTACTTAAACTTTAGTCTTATTCAATATTTGTTTATATTCTTTATAGGTATTTTACTCCTCTTTAATTGGTCACTTGCAAAATTGTTTGGCAAAATTACATTTATTTAGTTCGTATAAATTGTAAGCATACAGTTCCTGAAACAAGTGTATGAAACATTTTTCAACTATCAATATTAAAGGTAACTGTTTTAATGATTCTACAAACTTGCTTGTATTATAGGTTATAAAATGACGGTCATTTTTTTTACCTCTTATGTAATATCGTAACTTGTTTATATTTATCATATACTGATGTCCAAGTCTGGATAAAGACACATTTTAGTGATTTGTAAGGCTTGAGTGATTTCTTCAAGTATTTGTAATTGCCAAGTTTGTTTCATTCTACGTTGTCGGCAGGTGACAGACGGAGTCTGATGTTAGAACACTACACACTTATCTGCCCTTAATGTCCCTACACATTTAGTGTACTATTACCATAAAGAGAGTGCTTCGTTACTATTTCAATACTGACAGTTTTCCTTAAACCAACGACTACTGATTTTACTTCATTAAAATTTTCCACGCTTTGAACTGGTATTGTAGGCATGCGGTACCCCATGGTGAAGCTTTGATCACCGGCTTTTCAATATGAACAAATTTGAAGACTCGCCAGGCCGACTGGTATTTGAACGCTTTAATACTCTTTTTGTATTTATTAGCCAGTTATTTGCGGTGTTAAATGTCCTTCTATTCGTGCGGTATTTTAACAGCGTCTTGTACGGACCCTCGCATTTGTTAAGATAATATCAATTTCTAGCAATTTCATTAAAATGTTAATGTTAATGGGTCTGAGTGTTTATTTTAACATTGATTCATGGGCAACTGAAAGGGTTTTAATAATTAGAGAAATATGAGCAATCACTCCGAATTCAAGGATCATATATAATTTAGTCACATCGGGAATATGTCTAAAACGTTTGGATTTTATTGTAGTTTTAGAGATGACCTTTTACATAAATGGTCAGTATATGTTCACTATGACACTCATCGTAATATATAATTGGGTTTAAATGTCATTAAGTGTGTACTTTGATGAACTATAAGGTCAACATTTTTCTTGCTATGAAATAAAAATGATAATAACAGCACAAATATTTTTGTGATAAGCGTAATCTCAAGTTCTTGAGATTTGTTTAAAATCTTTAGTGCAGAAATTCGAATTAAAATCAAATAGTCAAATAACACAAATTGTATTTACTTTCTATAGCGTTTTCTTCCAACTTTTCAAGTTTGATATCTGCAAAAATATATAGATTGTTTCGCAGTATATGCTCATTGCACGAGTTGTTCTGTCAAGTTAACACCTTTCACGTGCAAAATTAAATTGCTTTTTACAGACCTTTTGCTAAAGCCTACAGGAACGTGTTAAATTTGGTAACAAGTTATTTGCAGAATCATTGTTTGAATGATTAAAGTAGTGAACGTCGGCTCGCATACTGCAAATTTGAGAAACGCAGGAACATTTTTCCTATGTAATTATATTCAATTAAATCTCAAAATTTCCCGGGGCCTCCGTGCACTGCTAATGAAACATTCAACATCACACCCTATATTCAGGTAAAAGTACGTACAAATCGAACAAAACGAAACTCTGACGTTTTTACAACTATGATAACGTTGTTTTTACAAGGTTGTCCACAACGAACCTTCCTTCATTCGTCAGAATACTGGCATTTTGTTTCTTCTTGGCATTGTAATTTAAAATAATTACATGAAGTCTTCAATATGGCTTTGTAAGACAATATTCCACCCCGGGGAAGAATTAAGAGAAACAAATTTGACTTGTTTAAATAAGTAATAGTTTTTATGGATCTGGACAAGAGATCAATTTCAATCAAGCGAAGTTCTCTCTTTGTAACTGGAACATGTTCAAAAGATGTAGACCAAGTTTGACATCTAACTTGATATTACACAAATTTAAAGCCTTCTTGACTCGAGCAATGTTAACGTCTGAGACATCAACGCTGATAACCTGATAGATATAGGTGCTGATACAAACTTAGTTGGATAAAACATTGCGACTTTTGTTTGTTTAATTCGTTGACAACTATTTTGTCCACGACCTTACTTTGTGTATTTTAAATCTCAAAACAAATCTTAATTAGCATTTTCCGTTTTCTCGTCTTCATGTTTCGATTGAACATTTTCGAATTTTTCGATTAAAACGTTTATTTCGATCTGATTGTTAAGTGTTTGCCAATCGATCTGTCTTACTGTTTAATGTCAGACGCTTAAACGAATTAATTCATACACCAGCGATACATCTTTTTATTCGTCCCTTATAAACGTAGGTACATATAACATTTGTTGTGATGATTTTAATCACCACAATATGACCATTGCAAATGTGTTAGCATGTTTGTGATTATACGCAATTCGAGTATGTGATGCATTTATTTTTTCTGCGTATTTCTTTCTTACATTTGTTTATCAATCATTGTTTAAGATAGTTCACTATTATTGTTCAAGTTCAGCTATACATTTCTGCTGTTTCTTTGTCAATAAAGTGCATATTTCTGTTTGTTTTATGAACATATACAAGAGACATTTTATATTTGAAAAGGGAGCTACATGTAATTATCTTAGCCTTAAATAAGACTCATTCTGACGAATGTCCCAGTTTAGAATGGAATTAATTGCAGTGGGGTTTTCTTTTTAAGAAATGTAGCATTTTCTCTTGCATTTTCTCCGTTTTTTTCTCTTGTAAATCGGATAACTTTTCTGCCCTGTAATTAATCGTAGGGGCGTGGCTCGATTAGCATCCGTGCCTCGGTCTTTGCGCTCCCATTGTCCCATACAGGCCCACAATAAAGGGAGGCCAGGGGATGAACAATAGGGAATCATATGTCTCAAAGTTTATATACAATCTCACGTCGAGTTAGCTTTGTGCAATGTGTCGTCTGCTTCGCGTAAATTCACACACTTCGACACCGTCAATCCTTTAGCTCTCTTTTATTGATTAACTACCACAAAATTACAGCTTGTAACGATTAGTTACAAATTTCTCTATTGTTTTTTTTATTCTATGAAATGATATATTTCACGTCTTCTCTGTTAGTTTGGAAAACTTGAGCGGATTCTGTGTCGAATTCCTTTCGTCTGGGTGTCCGGTAATTGGTATAGTTCTTACAATAGAAACGTCTGAATGATACTGAATAGATCAGTATTGTGGCTGCAAGACTTTATAATATGAACTCATGGCAAAATCTGCAAGTCTTCTCAAAATGCAAACATAGCTGATAATAATTAGTGGTGAAATAGTCGTTCTCTTCTTGTTATTAGAAAAAATGTCTTAATTTAATTTAATGGTTGAAATTGAAAGGCTTTATATGGAAATGGTCCCCTTATTATCACGGTGTTATACTTAGATTTTTTACAACATATTTATTTGAAGAGACCGCTGTCCGCTAAGTACCAGTCTCAAATAACGTTTTTTTTTTCCACTGGACAATTTTAATCTCTGCCGAGAATCAACCAATCACATTCTAGAATTTGACTTTTCGTTCAAGTATATATAACATTTCGTTTCTGAATTTCTTATTCATATTAACAAATTCCACAAGTCTGATTGTTGTTTATTATGTTGCTTTCAATTGGTTTAACTTGGTTTTATGATATTGTACTTGCAGAGCAAAGTCAAAGAATGGAGGAAGATCGTTACGTGAAAAATTAGACAAAATGGGCATGAATTTACCCGCTGGTCGAAGAAAAGCTGCAAATGTTACGTTACTGACATCTCTAGTCGAAGGTACTACATTACATTTTCTGGTCTCTAGTAGAAAGTACTACATTACATTTTCTGGTCTCTAGTCGAAGGTACTACATTACATTTTCTGGTCTCTAGTAGAAAGTGCTACATTACATTTTCTGGTCTCTAGTCGAAGGTACTACATTACATTTTCTGGTCTCTAGTCGAAGGTACTACATTACATTTTCTGGTCTCTAGTCGAAGGTACTACATTACATTTTCTGGTCTCTAGTCGAAGGTACTACATTACATTTTCTGGTCTCTAGTCGAAGGTACTACATTACATTTTCTGGTCTAAAACAGGTCAAAACATCAATGCATATTGATGGAGGATGCAGGACCAATCAAAATGACCTTAATTAAAAATGATTAATATTAACGATTTTTAGGTAATTCAGCACAGAACTGGAAATAATATACTTCTTTTTTTTAGACTTAAGCAATAGTAAAGCGTCCTTTTTAAACTAATACACAAGTTGTAACTTTAATTCTTGCTATTGGTATATGTTTGATATGGGTAAAGGACCGATGTTAATTTCGAAGTGCAATAAATTTAGTACTACTGCGGTGACCTAACAATGAGTCACTTTAAACTTCTCGGTTTTTATTACACTAGTGGTAGTCTTACTTTCCAACATTTTACAGCCTTCCTCTGCCCAATGTTTATAATTTTCTTTATTGAAAGACTTTTTATGCGACTTTAATGTAACTTGTGTGACGTAATCGATTGTTAAACGTCATTTTCAGTGGCCTTTTAAATGACCAATCCTTTTACGGCGCTGTCCACCTTAATAGCTATCGCCATATACATACTTTGTACCTGTATGAGACATCGGTTTAACCTTCCTATTTTCCGATTGACAGCTTTTTCAATCTAATATAAATAATGGCCCGCCAAACGTGTAATTTATTTCTAAATGAAGGCCTATTTATCTGGCGTAAGAAATTCGGGTCCTCATTCTGAGTTATCAGTCATTGTTAAGTTACGTGTGACACTTGAATAGGACGAGGAACTTTTTGTTTATTTGTATTAGTACATTCATTCTTTGATAAACAGTTGGTGTATGGAGATTTTTGTTGCTGTATGTGGGGTAGTGTTTTCATAGCAAATCCATCTATCTATATTTGTTGTCCTTTCCTAACTTAACCAAAACCTCGCTACAATAAACATTGACATTCCAGAATCTAATTAAAAAAACAACTATGTTCACCTTACGTACATACCGAATTTAGTTTTTAAAATATGACACGGACGAGTGGATTAACATAGACACTATTTTGAAAAAAAAATATCAAGGCTTCTAAACTTTAAATTATTAAAGGGGTTTGGCCTATACAATACACCTTTCCTGCAAATATATTTCTTTTATGGAGCCTATCGCCTAGAACGAATACTTTAATATGCCTGTTGATTTAGAACTTGACACTTCGTGTTGCTTTGCACAGTTAACCATTCCTTCACAGCCATTTTACGTGTGTGTAAAACCTAGCTTGTTTTGTTTGTTGTTGTTTTTTTTCCAGAAAATGAATTATTTTTCTAGCATAAATCAAATACATGTATTAAATCATAAAAACACAAAATTTACTATTTAAAGAAATCGTAAAATCGTGAGCACGTAAAACGATTAAATATTTTACTTAAGCCTGGTTTCAAATATTAAATCGGCGTACACATCTGCATTCCAATTATTGTAAGTCTAAATGTTTAATTAAGACATTTTCATATTTCTCGCCGCGTCGCGCGCTCATGCGTATAGCAATTATATTCAAATCTGGCGCAATTTAGCAAATCATTTCCCTCATCATGTTCAACCGCTTAGCACAATATATATGGCTTGTTAATACGCATTTGTACGCAGGATATATGTTCAAAGGGAATTTTATGTACCCTCTTGGCCACCATGCTGCGCCGCTTATGACTCTATAAAATTACAATCTGATATTATTTCACGTGAGCGTTATTTCTGGGTAGCATCTTGCAAGAACTCAGTAGGCGTTCACACTTCTCCAGACGGTCTTTTACTAGCGTAAATAGTGTACCTACACTTTATTTGAAAGACAATCCTCTATTGAAAATTTGGATTTAAAAGAACTATTTTTTCCACTGGAAGCATCTCCATGTGATAAAAATGCTTGCGCATCGCACTATTTTCAGCAGTACAGAAGCATGTGTTATCAAATATCCCCTGCTTGTTTAATTACTAAATATATTAGCTTGTGAAAGTATTCTCTTAAAGGATCAAAGGAACAATTTGTTTGGATTTTACTCGATTATGATATAACTACTTGAAGTTATTACGCAACGTTGTGATTTCATTTTGAATTAACGTTGGTTTTGTTGGACTCGATTTTTTTTCTCAAAAAAGAAATACGAGATTTTATCGTTATATTAAAACTGAAATTGAAGAGTTTTATTCCGTTGAAATTTTCGTTTAAAATGCTAGCAAAACACTTATTTATGGGCATAATGATTGATTTGATTTAAGATGAAATCGAAGACATATTTTATGTTTATGTCCGATATGTTCTACACAAGTACTTTAAAAAAAGTTATAGACATTATAACAGTGAAGATATTATTAGATAAATTAGAGAAAACATACATATACGCTTTAAACTAGTACATTTCCTAATACTCGTCTACACTTATATCTTTGTTACGTTAATTTAATATCAAATGTTTGTAAATCAAGTTTTAAATAATACTAAAAACCACCAGCCGTTTAATATTTCTAAGAGAAAAGAATATGTCATGCTCATTTTATTTTGGACAATAAAAAGTTCATATTCTTTCTTTTCAGGGGAAGCAATTCGTCTTGCACGTGATTTTGGCTATTTATGTGAAACAGAATTTCCCTCTCGTCAGTGTGCAGAATACAACACTCGGCAGTATTCGGACCCTACCGACCAAATGACCAGGAAAAATATGATTCTTGCAACTAAGTATGTACTGAGTTTAATTTAAAATATGGTTGGGGTATGTAACACAGGGGTATGTTCCCCATAAGTCGAGCAATTTTTAAAAGATGATAGTGACCTGGTGACACGATATAACAGATGTTGTCATAGTGACCTGGTGACAAAAAATAGAAGATGAAGTCATAGTACGCTAATGACAAGACATAACAGATGTAGTCATAGTGACCTGGTGACAAGATATAACAGATGAAGTCATAGTGGCCTGATGACAAGATATAGCAGATGTAATCATAGTGACCTGATGACAAGTATATAACAGATGTAATCAGTGACTCGGTGACAAGATATAACTGATGTAGTCATAGTGACCTGGTAACAAGACATAACAGATGTAGTCATTATGACTTGGTGACAAGATATAACAGATGTAGTCATAGTGACATGGTTTACAAGATATAACAGATGTAGTCAGTGACCTGGTGACAAGATATAACAGATGAAGTCATAGTGGCCTGATGACAAGATATAGCAGATGTAATCATAGTGACCTGATGACAAGTATATAACAGATGTAATCAGTGACTCGGTGACAAGATATAACTGATGTAGTCATAGTGACCTGGTAACAAGACATAACAGATGTAGTCATTATGACTTGGTGACAAGATGTAACAGATGTAGTCATAGTGACATGGTTTACAAGATATAACAGATGTAGTCAGTGACCTGGTGACAAGATATAACAGATGAAGTCATAGTGACCTGGTGACAAGATATAACAGATGTAGTCATAGTGACCTGGTAACAAGACATAACAGATGTAGTCATAGTGACATGGTTTACAAGATATAACAGATGTAGTCAGTGACCTGGTGACAAGATATAACAGATGAAGTCATAGTGACCTGGTGACAAGACATAACAGATGTAGTCATAGTGACCTGGTGACAAGATATAACAGATGTAGTCATAGTGACCTGGTGACAAGACATAACAGATGTAGTCATAGTGACCTGGTGACAAGATATAACAGATGTAGTCAGTGTAGTGACCTGGTGTCAAGACATAACAGATGAAGTCATAGTGACCTGGTGACAAGACATAACAGATGTAGTCACAGTGACATGGTTTACAAGATATAACAGATGTAGTCAGTGACCTGGTGACAAGATATAACAGATGAAGTCATAGTGACCTGGTGACAAGACTTAACAGATGTAGTCATAGTGACCTGGTGACAGGATATAACAGATGTAGTCAGTGACCTGGTGACAAGACATAACAGATGTAGTCAGTGACCTGGTGACAAGCTATAACTGATGTAGTCATAGTGACCTGGTGACAAGACATAACAGATGTAGTCATAGGAACCTGGTAACAAGACTTAACAGATGTAGTCATAGTGACCTGGTTTACAAGATATAACAGGTGTAGTCAGTGACCTGGTGACAAGCTATAACTGATGTAGTCATAGTGACCTGGTGACAAGACATAACAGATGTAGTCATTATGACTTGGTGACAAGACATAACAGATGTAGTCATAGTGACCTGGTAACAAGACATAACAGATGTAGTCATTATGACTTGGTGACAAGACATAACAGATGTAATCATAGAGACCTGGTTTACAAGATATAACAGATGTAGTCAGTGACTTGGTGACAAGATATAACAGATGAAGTCATAGTGGCCTGGTGACAAGACATAGCATATGTAGACATAGTGACCTGGTGACAAGATGTAACAGATGTAGTCATAGTGACCTGGTGACAAGATATAACATATGTAGTCATAGTGACCTGGTATTTAGTCATGGTGACCTGGTGACCAGGTATAACAGATGTAGTCAGTGACCTGGTGACAAGATATAACAGATGAAGTCGGGCATAACTTGTCCATCATACAGCATGACATGATAATATGACTCTTATCGTTTGTTAGTTTATCTGTTATTTTTTATGTCAATGTTTAAAAACACAATTTTGATCATACCTCGGCAGTCAGTCAATTGAACTTTCCCAGATAAATCCAGTTTTTACGCAGAAATTTCGCCTTGCCAAATGATCGAACAAGCAACCCCTATATTACAGATACGATTCCCTGCCAATAGAGCTAATGTCTTATAATGTTAACTTGTAACAGTTGAATTTTATAGCATTTCTTTACTTTACTTTACTTCTTTACATTACTATAATTTACTTTACTTCTTTACTTTACTATACTTCTGTATTTTTTGTTCATTTCAGACAAATATTGAAAGAACTTATGGACTTGTTAAATCAGGACAGATCACCTCTAGGAAATACTCGACCTCAGCTAATCTTGGAACCCAACATTCAAAGACACCTTTCACATTTCAGTTTAATAACACACGGTTTTGGGTCACCAGCAGTGGTTGCTGCACTAACTTCAGTACAGAACTATCTTAACGAAATGTTAAAAATAATGGACAAAAGTTTTGCTGCGCCAAATAGTATGGACCCTAAAAAGACAGAAAAGGACGAGTGACGCCCACTGTAGTTTTTGTTTGTCAAAAATGTTACGGCATTATTTATAATGGTGCAGCCACTGAAATATACTGCGGGGAATTTATCAAACCAAAAACAAAAAACGATCATTACAGCATTAACAGCGTAGTTGTATATTTAGACATTCAATGAGGACTGCAACAAGGGTGGTTATTCGTCCAACTTTGTTCAAGCAAATATAAATGTAAAGTTTGTTTGGACTATATTTAGATGAGTTATTCAATAATGTATTAAAAACCTCGGGAAACAAACATGTGACTTACAGATGTCTGTATACCTGTCAAAAAATAATGTGTTAACTGACATTGTTAATGATGATTGATGGATTTCCAATCGATCATTGATCCCCACATTAGATACAAGGAGTTATGTGCAGACATACACACGCATACTTGTTGCATGATTCAGATGTTTAAAATAGATATGTGGAATGATGTATTGTTGATGGATTGTGTTGAACACAAATGCTTGCCATTTTAAAAGGTTTTTGTTTAACTGTGAGTTTTTTTTTTGCACTATAGACCCAAGTAACTTGCTAGCAGAAATCCAGTCATAAGTGTTGAGAGATTTTTAGATAAATACTGGAATATACCTTATAACATATAAGACATTCGGCAATATTACTTCAAATGACTAACGATAATGATAAAAATAATACCGAACGCAAATAATTTAGTAAATTAAGTTAAAGGGAGATAATATCAGTGCCTTGCCAAATTTACTTACAGAGGTTATTTAGTCTTGCCAGAACTATATGCCAAATAGTGAGCTAATGATAGTTCAACAAAATAAACAATGTTTTAGATGGCTACGATGTATCAATACGGCTACTCTATTAATCTTAGGACAAGTCATTATCATTTACCTGGTATAATACACATTAAACATTTCTTTACGTTTTCAAATCAGTTTCTTTTTCGATGTTGTTTTCGACAGAGTTTTGAGCTGATCAATATAGATTAAGCAGAGATATTTTTAAATGTTATTTTCTTCATCAGCTTTTAAATATAAACGGCTAATGTATGTGAGCAAACCATAATTTTGATTTCTTAACAAATATGAATCAGAATACTGATATATAAGTCCTAAACAACTCTAGTTTTATCTTGTTACCTTTATCACTTTTTCATTAAAATGTTTAGATAGCCGAATTAGATTATTGACACAGAAAGTCCTAAGTATAAAAACAATGTTGGTTTATTTTGTTAAATATCTTTAATACTTTATTTCATCATTGTTCAGGTCAGATAGTTCAACGATGTGTTCTTTTATCTCTTTTGTACAGTTAATATATATTATATAAATACGCCTATATACAATGTATTATTTATTTTATTTTTTCCATTTTTCATTTTTGTCGAAGTCATATTTAAACATATATGTGTTTTCACTATGTCTCATTTAGATGATTTAACGGGTCTTTATAATTATACATGCATATACTAAAATGTTTTAAGACCCACCACGACTCATTTTATTATTCCTTACATTTCTGACCATTTTTAATCTAAAAATTAACTCTTTACATGTTTGGAATTAATGTTGTCTGCTAAAATGTCATCTGCTTATATTTTAATGTTATTAAATTTTTCTCGAAATTGACACAAAACTAAAAGATAACGGTCAAGCAGCGTGGTGCCACTAAGGTAGATCTACTCGATATCTTAACTTGTACCAAACAAGCAAAGGCTTTTGTGAGGTTCAGGGTAAAGCAACTACATGTTAATCTTTATAAATATACGACAATATGTTTTGTTTACAGTTTTTGAGTGGTTGACGTTACAATACATATAATATCCCAGGAAAGATTTTACACTGGAATAAGAAAAGGATGGATGACATGAGATAGGTCGAGGTGGGACTTAAAGTAATTATAGTTGATACTCATTATTTTTGAGTGATTCATACGCAAATCACATGTGTACAAAATTAATCCAACGCGATTGCTTCACGCAATCTTAAACAATTCTAGTCCTGTTTTCAAATATAACTACGCAATGCTTGTATTAATGCTTATCATTTGACCGTTAGAAGGAACTATTATCATTTGTTGTATACGACGAGAGCAAAATTATAGTTCGTAGATAAAGAAAGGGTTATCATTCATTTTAAACCAAATTTGTTACAGAATTAAATAGTAAAAAGCTTTTCTAAATTATTAAAAATATAAACTTGTTTCTTTTTCCTCATCAGGTTTTTATAAGTATATTCGAAAGATGGCTGATAACTTGGTGAAAAATGTATGATTTATAATTTTGCAATCATTAGGTCTTGTATTCAGATCGAGGTAGGTTTGGTAATTTGCTTACTTATATCTGCAAACAAAAGATTTGTACTATTTTTATCTTTTGGAATCTTCAATTGCGTAAGTTTGACAAAAATGTGGAGGAATATAGTCTTTTTTTAAATTGGTTTACTATCGTGTATAAAACTGAACACAATACCATGCAGCCAAGTCACCCCTAACTAATATTTTTATATAAAAAACAGTTATAGACACATATACACTTAGAGATAACTTACAATGTTTATATGTTATTTATAGATTAGGACAGCAAATAATGATGTAACATAATTATACAGATATTACATTTACTTTTTGATTTGCTGTATGATTATTTGGTATAGATTATAACTCCGAATATATTATTAGATAAATTTGCAACCATATGAAAATTTTCAAAACATGGGCCAACTTATTTGCAATCTTGGATTAATCGGTTTTAAATCATATCTTTATTTCATTGTGTTCTGTTAATCCATGGACAGTATTTGTTAATTTTATACAGAAAATGATACTATGTATTTAAGTTGATTTTTTTCTTCATGTACGATTCTTCACTTTTTTCGGTAACATATATAAGATATTTGTATACTACAATGTGAGTCATACGACTTCGTTAAAAGATGGGAAATTTGGCCTACCGCACAGTCAGATGTTATTAGATACAAAGCCATTATTACCTAATTCTGAATATAACTTAATGGCTAACCATTTATAAATACACATTCATTTAATTTCTTTCTCATTGGAAAAAAAAATGAAATAAAACAAGACGCAATATATGTTTAATCATTATCAAATCACATTTTGTATAGATGTAAATTATTTCTTTCTCTTATTTAGCATTAATTTAATTTGTATTTGCCATACCTATTTGACAGGGACTTTTTGTCTTGAAAAAAAACCACGTTATATCATAGGCATGTGCATGGGTTTCTAAAGCTGCTGCAAAAGTAAAAGATGCCCATCCCTTTTATTCAGTTTTGGTTACAATTTAAAACAATGTGCGATTTGTTTTATACCACATCCATAGTTTAATGGTAGAATGCGTATGAGTTCACGTAATTTTTTTTAAGTTAACCTTGTTTTGAAACAAATTTAAATGTGGTGTTGATTAACGATGTAGTGACGACATATCAGTGTCCAGTATTTTGCAGTACATTATACCCCTTCAACCGTTATGGGTATCTTTTGTATGCTGAAGAGAGGGAGAAAACTTAAATATGGTCAAAGACTTTTAACCATCTTTGTTTAATGTTAAATTTGTTCATCCTTGGATAAAAGGATTTAAATATTTTTGTTTATGTGTACACTCTGAGAATATGTTTAGAACGAGAATCTAAAAATAGAATGAGAAATTATCTATAAATAACTTACAAGGTTTTGTATTAGACGAGGACATTTTTATAAGTGTGCATTTTGTTGTTTGTGTCAAATGTTATGTGGTAGAAATGAATAAAAATTCCATTTCAAAGCAACACTGACTTTGTCTTTTATTTTTCTGTTTCTAATTTGTGTTGTTTTTCTTGGCCATTGAGGACCGTATCTATGACGCCTAGACTACACGCTGTATGCTAGAAGAAAATGTAATCATTGAATCATTCCTTCGGCGCCCCATAAATTGTGGACCATAATGCATTTGTGACAGCATCAAGGGACAAGTTTTGATGGTGGCTGCTTAGTCGTTAATCCGGTGTCAACTATTCGTTCAAATAAAGTTAGAAATTCTTTACTCCCAGCCTGTAGCGTTCTTGCATAGTCCAAATAAAACAAACTACAGAATCTTTGAACTGACAAATAATACTTTGAATAACTCCTCTACATGATGCAATCAGTTTACTTTTCTTCTTATTTTTGTTGTTTCCATTCTTTGACAGACTCTATAAGTCCTAATTGTCGAGTCCCGGTAACAATTCAATTCAATATTCAATATTTTATTGAGCATATGAACATATTTTTGTTATTACAATGAACTATATAAATAACAAAAGAACAATATTCACATGAATATATATAACAAGTGACAGCATTAATATTGAAATAGAAAGTATAGAATAAAATTAATCATATCAAAACAAATTATTTATACAAAGTTGAAACACAAATAAAAAAAAATACAAACATTTGTAAAAGAACAATATTCCGTACCAGTACAACTTGCACATAACGGTGCAGTATCATTTGGAATATATCATTCTTTGACAGACTGTATAAGTCCTAATTGCCGAGTCCCGGTAACGGTACAGTATCATTTGGAATATATCATTCTTTGACAGACTCTAAAGTCCTAATTGCCGAGTCCCGGGAACGGTACAGTATCATTTGGAATATATCATTCTTTGACAGACTCTAAAGTCCTAATTGCCGAGTCCCGGTAACGGTACAGTATCATTTGGAATATATCATTCTTTGACAGACTCTAAAGTCCTAATTGCCGAGTCCCGGTAACGGTACAGTATCATTTGGAATATATCACTTTGATGGACTCTATAAGTCCTAATTGCCGAGTCCCGGTAACGGTACAGTATCATTTGGAATATATATCATTCTTTGATAGACTGTATAAGTCCTAATTGCCAAGTCCCGGTAACGGTGCAGTATCATTTGGATTATATCATTTTTGATAGACTGTATAAGTCCTAATTGCCGAGTCCCGGTAACGGTACAGTATCATTTGGATTATATCATTTTTGATAGACTGTATAAGTCCTAATTGCCGAGTCCCGGTAACGGTGCAGTATCATTTGGAATATATCATTCTTTGACATGGACTCTATAAGTCCTAATTGCCGAGTCCCGGTAACGGTACAGTATCATTTGGAATATATCATTCTTTGACAGACTGTATAAGTCCTAATTGCCGAGTCCCGGTAACGGTACAGTATCATTTGGAATATATCATTTTTTGACAGACTGTATAAGTCCTAATTGCCGAGTCCCGGTAACGGTGCAGTATCATTTGGAATATATCATTTTTGATAGACTGTATAAGTCCTAATTGCCGAGTCCCGGTAACGGTACAGTATCATTTGGAATATATCATTCTTTGACAGACTGTATAAGTCCTAATTGCCGAGTCCCGGTAACGGTGCAGTATCATTTGGAATATATCATTCTTTGACAGACTGTATAAGTCCTAATTGCCAAGTCCCGGTAACGGTACAGTATCATTTGGAACATAGCATTTTTGATAGACTCTATAAGTCCTAATTGCCGAGTCCGGGTAACTGTACAGTATCATTTGGAATATATCATTCTTTGACAGACTGTATAAGTCCTAATTGCCGAGTCCCGGTAACGGTGCAGTATCATTTGGAATATATCATTCTTTGACAGACTCTATAAGTCCTAATTGCCGAGTCCCGGTAACGGTACAGTATCATTTGGAATATATCATTTTTGATAGACTGTATAAGTCCTAATTGCCGAGTCCCGGTAACGGTACAGTATCATTTGGAATATATCATTTTTGATAGACTGTATAAGTCCTAATTGCCGAGTCCCGGTAACGGTGCAGTATCATTTGGAATATATCATTTTTTGATAGACTCTATAAGTCCTAATTGCCGAGTCCCGGTAACGGTACAGTATCATTTGGAATATATCATTCTTTGACAGACTCTATAAGTCCTAATTGCCGAGTCCCGGTAACGGTACAGTATCATTTGGAATATATCATTTTTGATCGACTGTATAAGTCCTAATTTCCGAGTCCCGGTAACGGTGCAGTATCATTTGGAATATATCATTCTTTGATAGACTCTTTAAGTCCTAATTGCCGAGTCCCGGTAACGGTGCAGTATCATTTGGAATATATCATTCTTTGACAGACTGTATAAGTCCTAATTGCCGAGTCCCGGTAACGGTACAGTATCATTTGGAAATTGGAATATATCATTTTTTGATAGACTCTATAAGTCCTAATTGCCGAGTCCCGGTAACGATACAGTATCATTTGGAATATATCATTTTTTGATAGACTCTATAAGTCCTAATTGCCGAGTCCCGGTAACGGTGCAGTATCATTTGGAATATATCATTTTTTGATAGACTCTATAAGTCCTAATTGCCGAGTCCCGGTAACGGTGCAGTATCATTTGGAATATATCATTCTTTGACAGACGGTATAAGTCCTAATTGCCGAGTCCCGGTAACGGTACAGTATCATTTGGAATATATCTTTTTTTGATAGACTCTATGAGTCCTAATTGCCGAGTCCCGGTAACGGTGCAGTGTCATTTGGAATATATTATTCTTTGACAGACTCTATAAGTCCTAATTGGCGAAATAACGAAATAACTTTAATACGTATAAACTTTAAACTATTGTGACTGCTTTGTGCCATCTTTCCGCTCAGCAAAGCGCCATATGAAATCAAGAAAATACAACAAAGTAAACACTGTTTGCTTGGTGCCCTCAGAGAGAAAGGACGACAAAGTGGTGGTCACTACTGGCCAATGTGTCGTATTTATATTTTTTCGTGATTTCCTCTTGCACCCCGAAGACGAAAGATGAGATCACAAAATAACGACAAACATATGTTTGTGTTTTGCCCTAGAGCCCGCGGAGCGATGGTAAAAAGAAGTTGTTACTCTGTCGTATTTTCTTGTTGTTTTTCTCTCTGGCGCCCTTACGGAGCAAAAATACGACATGGCACAAATTATTCATCATATTAAACTCATGATCTTGACTTAATACCTATTTTGACTTTATGCATCTATACAGGATTTCCCAGGAACTTGTATATATTGTGGCTAATTTGTGTCATCAGGTATTGGTGATTCGCAGAACGAAACACCGTGGAGCGAAATACAAAACACACGAATATACGACAAAGTGTCGTTTTTTTCCATGATTTCGTTTGGCGCCCGTGGCACAACCCGTCACCCCACACACACATACACACATGAACCGGTACATAATGTTGTTTATCAACCTCTAATTTTTATGAATCTACATGTATTTAAATGAATTTTAATAATGAGTATTTTCTATAAAGAGCAACAATCCAAAAACCGGCAAATTGTTTCAAAGAAAGAGAATAACTATGAGTTGACCATTAATCACTTTTTGAGCAGTTCACCAATTATCAGTAATGAGGATTTTCGATATAAAACATCAGCACTGAAGAGAATGGCAGCTGCCACGACCTATTGCCCCATTATTTATGTTTATTACATAAAACAACAACATTCTGTCGGCACTAAACTGCCTCAATCTATTTTACGGTGTTTGAATTATTGAAATAAAAGTGAAATATGACAAAGGGCTTGACATATGGGGTTACGACTTGTCAGATCTCTCCGATATATGTGATGATAAGCGAGAAAATTACAACAATTTCTTTAATTCATTTCTCAAATTAGTGACTCTTTGAAAATCGAGTGAGCACTGTAGCATACATTTTGAATTATATCTGATATCAATTTTTCCAATCAAAGTCTGACACTTGATCGAGAAATGACACGCACTATTAAAGATGATTCGCTTTAATGTGCATTATATTTTTACACAATTATATCATGTTAATAATTAAAAAACTTTTTTTATAATAATTGTTATATTTTTAAACATTTTCAAAAAATTACATTATTATTGATTTTAATGGTCGTTCATCATCATTCGTTCGTTCGTTCGTTCGTTCGTTCGTTCGTTCGTTCGTTCATTCATTCATCCACATAAAATATTAACAATGGAATACTTATATATATATCAATAGCTTTAAGATTTATTCCATGAATTAGCCAGCAGAAAAACTGCATGTATTGAAACAACAACAGCAGCAGCAACAACAACAACAACAACAAAAACAACAACAACGACGAGATAATCACTCTCAACACATATCAAGTAAACAGTGGATCTCTTTGATGCTAAAACATATTAGCGGCTTCTTGGCATATCATGAAACCGTTATTCCACAGGGACGCTAAAACTGTGCAAAATGACAAATTGGCACGGAACATTGGGCTATAAAAATGTAAAGACACGATTTTATAAAGCAACAAATAAATTGTTTCCAGGAAAAAGAATGAATATTGCTAAAAAAATATTTAAAACAAAAAAAACTATTTTTTTAATCAATTAAGAGTTTCTTAAGTGACATTACTTTTGTTCATTATCGTGAGAGAAAAAAATGAAATGATAAAAATTCATTCCCCCCTGTGGCTGTTAGAGTCAGTGAAGTTCATTGATTTCAACAATAATGTTATTGAATTAAATTTTCTCATAAATCAAACACAATCATCTGTTACAAACTATCGAGGGATTTTACAACGACATTTCTTCATTGTTTATAACAACATGATTAATACGTATATTTATTATATTGTAAAGATGAATTACTAAATTTCATAAGTGAAATATAATCCATATCATTAATAATACCATATCCATATTATCACTGCATATCGCTTATCAAGAAAAATAAATTAAAGACACAATTTATTTATTTAGTTTTGTTGTAATTGTTGTTGTT